TTCTGCTGAGTTTTCTGTAGGACTTTCTAGCTTGTATATAGGCTTATCCTTTATTTCATTCTCTTCAATGCCAAAATACTATTCTAGAATGGGATTGATGCAAACTCTCACTAATCTGAACCAGTCCCAAAGGGATTTGACTATCAAGTTTATGTCATTACACTGTAATTTGCATCATGAAACCATGTGGGGATCCTTGTTTGCCAGAGTATAAAATGCAAATCTGTCCTTTTCCTTTTGGCCATACCTTTCCAAGGTGGCCACACTCACCTGTGCCCTAAGAATGCATTTTAAGGGTTCTGTTCTGCACTGTTTTCCAGGAGGCTTGAGATTTGGGCAGGTATCTGTGGTACTTTGAGACAGCACAGGTGGGGTATGAGGTAGATACGTTACTGGGCTGCAGTTAGTTGTTGGCTACGGATTTCAAAGGAGTACCAGAAACTTACACCAGTGATTCTTTTCCCTTATAAACACAATCTTTTGGGGGAGGCCAGTGTCTGTCAGATTTCTTGGAAGTGATTCAAAACTGTTCGAGGTCAGGTGTGAGTATCCTTGCTTTATGATCGTAACTGTGAATGTAGAATCCCAGACTGGTTTGGGTTGGAAGGGACCTTAAAGCTCCTCCAGCTCCAGCCGCTGCCACGGACAGGGACACCTTCCACTAGAGCAGCTTGCTCCAAGCCCCTGTGTCCAACCTGGCCTTGAACACTGCCAGGGATGGGGCAGCCACAGCTTCTCTGGGCACCCTGTGCCAGTGTCTCATGGTGCTGCACTTAATGGTTATTAAACATAATAGCAGCTTGTATAGTTTAGTAGCATTTACTTATAGAATTCAGCTCCAAGTGTATAGAAACACTGTGTTTAACTTCTTGCCTCCTGTTGTCTGAGTATGCTTATCCCATCCCACCAGAAATAACTCTGGTTTCACAGTTCCATTAGTATTCTGGTTAAGAGCAAAAATACAAGCACAGCTAACTGTAGGTTGCTTTGAGGTATCTTGGTTTGATCAATAAAGTGTGGCCAAATAAAGGTTACTCCTCTCTCTTGAATTCTTACTCTGTTCTCATCTGAACTCCTGTAGTAAGTGGGACTTAATGATTATCCGGACATTGGCAATAGCATGAGATCACCTGTGGCTGTTGCAGTTTTTGGGCTAAATGTTATACAAGTATTGTGAAGGTTTAAAGGCAGATAATGCTTGTGCTGAGCTATCTGCAGCATAAGTGAAAGGAAAGGGCGTAAAAGGACTATATTTTAAAAAGAAGTTGCAAGCCAAATTGATGCATTCCTCTTTTGATCTTTGTCACTGTAGACAAGTAGCTTTTCATCTGTTTCTTTCACTCATTTTCCTTTGCATCTTTCTTTTGCAATTCTTTTAATGCACGTGCACGTATATGAAGTTCTGCCCTTCATTTATTCTTTTGTCATTGTTTCCATTTCACTTTCCCTGTGTTTCATTCCTGTATCTTTCTTGTTTAGACCAAGTGGAGGATCCAGCTGGCAGTAGCAGCCATGTAGGACCCTTCAGGAACCTGATGGTAAGTGCACGTGTGTACTTATACTCAGGCTTCCACCAGGTTCTGTATTCTGAGGCATTTTCCCTTTCCTGCAGGCTTCTGTTAGTGCTTGACATCTGAAACAGTAGGAAAATTAAGGGGCAGACCTTCTTGGCTACTCCCTGTGGTACCCATTATATCAGAATAGTAGGTTGTGTTATTCATTGAAAATCTGCAGGAAGAAAATGATACCAATGTTTCAGGTGTGTATGGATGTTGGGAATTCATAGAAGAAAGTCTAGCAAAAGCTATTAAACATCTTCAAAAGTTCCTGAAGTCTTGATCTGTGAAAGCTGGGAGAGTATATCAATGAATTACCACTTTACTATTACTCTGGTCTTAAATTCTGTTCCTGGGCATCTGCTTTTGAACATTCAGGGCCATGAAGTGGACTCATCTGGGACAGTCATTGCCATGCTTGAGTACAGTGGATTCTTTTAACCTTTACAAGAATGCTGCAGCCTATAAATGAACAAGCTAAAGCTGGTCCAAGGAAAACACTGAAAACTGGTGGTTGTTTCTAGCTGATAACTGTCAGACACTTAACTGGCAAGTTTGCTTGCCCTTCTGAGTAAGGGCAGTTAGGTGCTAGATGAATTTTCAAATGCATTTATGCTTCAGGGCCAAGAAATCAAACCACCTCCAGCCATACAATTGAGCAGGCTGCATTGTGAGCAGGTTGCATCTTTGGTTTTTTGGAGTGTGGCAGGAGAACTTGCAGATGATCTTCCTTCCATAGCATAAGGAAGTATGTGACTTGAGTAACTCCATTTTGTGTACAAATCCTGCTATTTTAGTGATTTCCCAGATTATAATTGGATTTGAAGTACTGTAAATGTTACATCCCATAAATGGACAGTGCTTTGGAAAACCTGTGCATGCTTTAACACCTATGAGTGATTTTTATTGTTGCTTTTATGGTCTTGACCTCACACTTCAAAGAGCACAATTTGTTTCTAGTCCTGTTAGAAAAAAGAATTGGGTCTGGATTTGAAGGCTTTAATGGTAACACGTCATTATGCTTAAATTCAGTGCTGCTCTAGAACTAAATGTAGAATTGCCCTGTGACTTCATCTGCAATACTGTCATATGCTTCACAGTCTAGTAGAGCACTATCTCTAACTGTGGCTGAGTTTGGCACAGATGAGAGGGGCCTGTGGACCCATCTTTTCCTTCTTATTTCCACTCTCACTTATAGAGATGAGAGAGAAATCTAGAATTTCATGTTTTCAGTCACTTAAGTCAGGATACTGATGTTGGTCTTGAAATGCTGAGCAGTCTGCAGGAAAAACGTCAGCTCTTAAAGGGTTCTAGCAATTGAATACATTTTGTTAGGTTGGTCCTAAGGTGTACTGTGAGATATGTTTGATTCCCTCAGGATGTATTGAAGTTACACGTTTGGATCTTTTACCTAGTTTTGTTAGGTTGGTCCTAAGGTGTATTGTGAAGTATGTTTTATTCCTTCAGGATATATTGAAATTGACACATTTGGGTCTTTTACCTAGAAATGGAACTGTAGGTGGATTGTGTTACTGTACATTGCAAGAGTGGTTTCAGCTGACTTCTGGAAGCTTGTTTGAAATACTTCGTACTCAGGCTTGGTACTGGGAGTTGTAGTTACAAACATTAGTGGTGCTGATACCAAGAAGCTCTGTTCAAGCTGGACGTTCAGTAGCCTCTCACAGAAAGATGCTCTTCAATTCCTTATACCTGTGTGAACACTAAAATCCACGCTGCATATTCTCACAACTTGTAGGTGTTTGGTATAAAATACAACCAAATGTTGAATCATCAGATAAACCAGTATTGGTTCATTATGGGCTGTTTGGACACAGGGATTGTTATAGTATCTGAGGATATGATAATTGCTAGTTCACTTTAGGAAGGGTGTGTGTGTATTTTGCAAAGGTGACATAAATCCATTCTGTGACTATTGCCAGTTTCTCAGGCTAAAGGCCGTTGAATTGGAATTAGGAAATTAACACAAGGGTAATTATATACATGAAATGGAAACACTCCAGAATGTGGGGAGAGCCTGTGAAATCTGAGCTCCTTGAGAGGAAATCCAGATAATTACTTAGATAGAATAGAATGTTCAAATAAACCCAAGCATTTCCTTTTAAAGCTGACCTGTCTCTGATCTGTTCTGTTGGAGGGCTACATACTCGAACATTTTCAGTTTGAACAGAGGAACATTTTTTAAAAGGCATTTCAGTTTCTTGGCTCAAGATGTGAAAAAATATTTTCAAGGAAAAAAAAAAGAGGAGGAACTTGTTGACAGGATTGTGGGTTGGAAGAATGTGCTTCTAAATAAGAAATGGGTTTGGGGCTGTGATGCACACTTCTGATTACAGGGAAGGGTCAGTGCGTTAAAGTAGCATTTTCAGTGTTAGAGAAGGAGTTTGTGTTAGAAGGAGGAATTTTGCTTGCTTCTTCTGAACAGTTCTCACTCCTAAGAGGTACTGTGTAGAAGTGTGAAGTTTCAGAAGAGGTGGATGTCTCAACCGCATTGATGTATGTAAAATAACCATTCTATCTGGAGAATGTGGTCTTTGCAGTGAATGAGGTGGAAGGCCTTAAAGTTTCATTTGTTACTGCAGTTCTTCCTGTAATTTCTATATGTTACAGGACTGAATTTTTAAGATTAATGGAAAAAATCAGCAGATGTAACGGTGCAGTGCATTGGTAAAAGAAGTTACAGTGTCCGTACGTCTTGCAACACTGATCAAGTCTTTGCGTAATGCCATTCTCCCCTAATCTTCCTTGTGTTCAGCATCCTGTGGAACTAATCTAATCTCTTAATTTTGCCAACAGAAAACATTAGAAAATTTGTTTGTGTTGGTGGACATGATCAAATACCTTCATGTTGTACTGTTACTGAGTTCCATCTGGTTTGATTTTATTGTCTTTGCCTTTTTGGTCAAGATTACTTTTAGTTTTCTCATAATGTTATTACTTCATTGCTTTTATTACAGCTCTTCAAGTCATTATTCAGAATATTCATACAAGTAGGGAAGCCTCCATGGGTTTCACTTCATCAGATCTTCCAATTAGCATTGTATGAAGACATTTCACATTTTCCATATGCTTTTATGGATACAGTAATTCAGTAGCCATATGGAGGTATTGGGTAACTGTATGGTGTGAGCTGGTTAACTCTGGACAACACATTTTTGTTATAGTCTGTTCTTGCTTTGAAAGTGAGTAAAGTATTTCAGAGTCTTAGGGTTTTAGACATTCACTGTTGTCTTCTAATTTCTTTTGGGCTCTGGAGGTTTGTTTCTTTGTCTTTTTTACTGATCCATCATTTGTATTCCTCAGGAAGATGGGGTTTCTAGGGAAGTATTATATTCCAAAGCTGGGGGGTTTAATTCTGCCATTTAAATACAAAAAGCAAATATTGTTGAGCAGGAATAATGACTGTTGGTCATCTCTTCTCCTCAGGAAAGAAGAAGTCTCAGGAAGGTAAAAAGGGAAAGAAGGCAGTGGATACAAAACAGAAAAAGGCTGATTTGGATTCTACTGCTGCAGATATGAAGGACTCTAAAGAGGGTGAGTTCTTAAGTATTTTATCTTATTTTTTATCCTTCTAACTATCTTTTTGAATAGGGGATGCTTTTTGTCCTGTTTAGTATGTTAGCATGTTTTGTTAGCGTAGCAAAGTGAACGTGTTTCTATCTTTTGCCCAGACTTTTTTATTAGTAGGGAACTTTGGTATCAGAAGTATGTCATTAAGCATGCAGGACTGACAACAGGAAAACCAAATGTACTGTAAAACTTAGATGTAAATCCAGACTTCTTAGAACAGAAGAGTCTTTGGAGCTTAGTTATACAGTCAGTATTTATTGTTATTTAATGGAAATCGGTGTCATAATATAAATACTGTTTATGCTATGTTAGAAGAAAAGGCAGAAGAAAGGTGCAGTGTACTTGGAAGTGTTTGGTAAAAATGTCTCATGCTTTTCTTTTCCTACTCCGTGTGTCAGGTCACAAAGAGGAAGATGAAGCACCTTCTGTTTCTGCTGTACTGTCCCTGGAACAAACAGCCGTAATTCAGGAAATGGTAAATCAGGATGTACTTCCAAAGCTGATGATCCCCAGTCCTACCAGTGAACCACAAACGGTAACTGAAGATAAACAAGAAGAAGCAATAAACTGTGCATCAGATGATTTTGATGATGAAGATGATGAGGATGATGAAGAGGAGGAAGATGAAGAGGAGATAGAAGATACCAGTATGCCTAAAGAAAATGCTGAAATGCCTTTGGTATGTGAAGAGAAGATAGACTGCGTGGAAGAGCAAAAGAGTACATCAGAAGAATCTCCAGAAAGCTCTCCAAAGAAAAAACTGGTTGTGAAAATTCCAAAAGCAAGAGGTGAGTCAAATGGGGATGTTCCAGAAACATTCATGTTTCCCTGTCAGCATTGTGAGAGGAAGTTTACAACAAAGCAAGGACTTGAACGCCACATGCACATCCATATATCTACTGTTAACCATGCTTTCAAGTGTCGATACTGTGGGAAAGCCTTTGGTACTCAGATTAACAGGCGAAGACATGAGCGACGCCATGAGGCAGGGCCAAAAAGGAAACCATTCTTAACACTAACGTCCTCACAACACTTGGATAATGTTGCTGATAACCAAGTAATTGTGGATGATGGTCTTAAAGATGACCTGAATGTTTCCAGTCTTGTGCAAGACTCTGTTGTCTTAGATTCTGAGAAGGTTTCCCAAGAAATGTCAAACTCTGCTTTTGCTGAGGAAAATAAGGAGCCCAAAGAATTACATCCATGCAAATACTGCAAAAAGGTTTTTGGAACTCACACCAACATGCGGAGGCATCAGCGTAGGGTTCATGAGCGTCATCTTATTCCCAAAGGTGTCAGAAGAAAAGGATTCTTTACTGAAGAGCCACCACTTCAGACAGAGCAGGCCCCACCAGTCCAGAGTGTATATATAGCAAGTACAGAAATAGAAGAGGAAGGTGAGGTAGACGATGTCTATATTATGGATATTTCCAGCAATATCTCTGAAAATTTAAATTACTACATTGATGGTAAAATTCAGTCCAACAGCAGCACTAGCAATTGTGATGTGATTCAGATGGAGTCCAACTCTGCAGAGTTGTATGGGCTAAATTGTATCATCAGTCCAGTCACAGTGGAAATTTCCCCAACTTTAAAGGTTACACAGACGCATGTGAATGAACCTCCTAAGGAACCCTCTAGCAATGGGAGCAATGAATCCAAAAAGAGGAGAACTGCCAGCCCTCCTCTTGTACCAAAAATAAAAACTGAAATAAACCCAGAACCTGTAACTCCTACTAGTTCCTTAAATCTGCCTCTCAGCCTTTCAACAGAAAGCTTACCTTTTCAGAAAGAAAAAGGTGTTTATTTGTCGTCAAAATTAAAACAGCTTCTTCAGACACAGGACAGTAAGAAGATAAATCCATCAGGAGAGATCCCTAAACTGGGACCTTCTGTTACATCTTCACCTATTTTGCCTTCAGTATCCAGTAGATTTAAAAGAAGGACCAGCTCCCCTCCCAGTTCTCCACAGCACAGTCCAGTACTTCGAGACTTTGTCAAATCAGGTGAGGGAAAAACTGTGTGGAATGATAATATTCGGGGTTCAAAAATGCCAAAGTTAGAAAGCCACAGCAACTCACCTGCTTGGAGCTTGACTGGAAGGGAGGAGAAAGAGACTTTGAGCCCTCTTTGCTTTGAAGACTATAAAATATCAAAAGACTGGACAGCAGCTCCGACTTTTGGCAGTGTGTGCAACCAGCAGCCACTGGATTTATCTAGTGGTGTGAAACAAAGGTCTGATACCAAGAATAAGAATCAGGTTCCCTGGGAATCTGTTTTAGATTTAAGTGTGCATAAGAAGCCTTGCAATGATGCTGAAATTAGGGAATATAAAGAAAATTCCATACAGCCAACCTGTAGTGGTGTTAAAAAGAAGAAACCAACCACTTGCATGTTACAGAAAGTTCTGCTGAATGAGTATAATGGGACGGATGCAGCCACAGACAGCACACTCGGGGTGAACAGGAGTGTGAGCCCGAACAAATCCCTGGAGCCTCAGACAGAACCTGACATGGATCCCCGTCTGTCTGCATTGTCTTCTGTTGACGCTCAGCCCCTTAGTTCTTCCGTTTCCCCTGTTCCACAGGCATCTGCTGTACCTTCCATGTGCCAGCTGCCTCCTTTGTTAACACCAACCAATCCTCCTTCCCCACCTCCCTGTCCACCCATGTTAACAGTTGCTACATCGCCTCCTCCCCTCCTTCCCACAATGCCCTTATCAATTCCAGAAGCCTCTGCCAGTGCCACTAACACTTCTTCTTGTCCATCGCCACTCTCTAACACTACTACCCAATCCCCGCTACCAGTTCTTTCACCTACAGTTTCTCCTTCTCCATCTCCTGTTCCTTCTGTTGAACCTCTTATTTCTGCTGCTTCACCTGGTCCTCCTACACTCTCTTCCTCATCTTCCTCCTCATCTTCCTCCTCTTTCTCCTCTTCTTCATCTTCGTCATCTCCATCTCCACCTCCTCTTTCTGTAGTTTCTTCTGTTGTTTCCTCTGCTGATAATCTGGAAAATACTCTCCCAATAATAAAACAAGAAGAAGCTGAAACCGAACAGCAGAAAGCAAGAGAAGATCCTCATACTTCAGGTGAATCAGGAGTAGTGCAGGAAACATTCAACAAAAGCTTTGTGTGCAATGTCTGTGAATCACCTTTTCTTTCCATTAAAGACCTAACAAAGCATTTATCCATTCATGCTGAAGAATGGCCCTTCAAATGTGAATTCTGTGTACAGCTTTTTAGGGATAAAACAGACTTGTCAGAGCATCGCTTTCTGCTTCACGGGGTAGGAAATATCTTTGTTTGCTCGGTCTGTAAAAAGGAATTTGCTTTTTTGTGCAATTTGCAACAGCATCAGCGGGATCTCCATCCAGACAAAGAGTGCACACATCATGAGTTTGAAAGTGGGACTTTGAGACCCCAGAATTTTACTGACCCCAGTAAGGCAAATGTGGAGCACATGCAGAGCCTGTCAGAAGATTCTTTGGAACCTTCTAAAGAGGAGGAAGATGAAGATCTGAATGATTCCTCTGAAGAGCTTTATACTACTATAAAAATAATGGCTTCTGGAGTAAAATCTAAAGATCCAGATGTTCGTATGGGTCTCAATCAACACTACCCAAGCTTTAAACCACCTCCATTTCAGTATCACCATCGTAATCCTATGGGGATTGGAGTTACTGCAACAAACTTCACTACCCACAATATTCCGCAGACTTTTACTACTGCCATTCGATGCACAAAATGTGGGAAGAGTGTTGATAACATGCCTGAGTTACACAAACACATACTGGCCTGTGCATCTGCCAGTGATAAAAAGAGATACACACCTAAAAAGAATCCAGTACCGCTCAAACAGACGGTGCAGCCCAAGAATGGCATGTTGGTTATAGCTGGCCCTGGGAAGAACGCCTTTAGACGTATGGGTCAGCCTAAAAGACTTAATTTCAATGTTGAGATTAGCAAAATGTCCTCAAACAAACTCAAAATCAGTGCATTGAAAAAGAAGAACCAGCTTGTCCAGAAAGCTATTCTGCAAAAAAAGAAAGCTGCCCAGCAGAAGGCAGACTTGAAAACTCATCCGTCCGAGTCAGACCCTCACATCTGCCCCTACTGTAATAGAGAGTTTACTTACATTGGCAGTTTGAACAAGCACGCATCATTTAGCTGCCCCAAAAAACCCATCTCTCCATCTTCTAAAAAGAATTCTTCTAAAAAGGGTGCAAGTCCTTCACCTGCAAGCAGTGAGAAAGGCAGTAACCAGCGCAGGCGGACAGCAGATGCAGAAATCAAAATGCAGAGCATGCAGCCTCACCTGGGCAAGACCAGAGCACGCACCTCAGGACCTGCCCAACTCCAGCTTCCTTCTGCATCCTTCAAATCAAAACAAAACGTTAAATTTGTACCTTCCATTCGCTCTAAAAAACCAAATTCATCATCGTCACTGAGGAACTCTAGTCCTGTGAGGGTGTCCCGAATGTCCCACGTTGATGGGAAAAAGACTAAGGGGGTTGGTAAGAACAGTTCCTCTGGAATCTCTAGCAAAGCCTCCCGGAAATTGCACGTCAGAATACAAAGGAATAACAAAGCTGTTCTGTCAAGCAAGTCTGCTGTGGCAAGTAAGAAAAAGGCAGACAGATTCATGGTGAAAGCTAGGGAGAGGATTGGAGGACCTATTACACGAAGCCTACAGCAGGCGGCAAATGCAGAGGCAGCAGAAAACAAAAGAGATGAAAGCAGTACAAAGCAAGAACTGAAAGATTTCAGGTAAGCATTTAATTTGAAGTTGAAACAGCACAGGAGCACGTTGTTTGCTGGTTTGCCATAATTCGTGGTCTTTTTGTTTGTTTTTGAGTTTCTCGTACTTAAATAAAAAAGTTTTTTCTTAAACCCTGGTTAAATAGCTGTCATGCTGAGGTATGATGTACATACTGGATGCATTCTTTCATGTTGTCATGAAATAATACATAGTTTGTATAGAGAATGTCTTTAATTATAAACTGAATTGAAAACTCTGGAAAAAAAATGTCAGTACCTGAGTGCAAATAAACTGAACGTCATTAAACTTAATGGTATGGGAGACACTGAGCTTGTATTTGATACCTGGCATATACGGGGGCCTAAAATCTTTCTAGATTTAGTTTATGGTGGTTGGCTAAGCTACAAATCATGATGGCATTTTTTGCTCACTAAAATGACTTGCATTGTTGGTCTTGAATAAAAGCATTCTCTGCATATCTTTTAAAAACCGAACCATGACCAAATACTTCAAAGATGTATGTGCATATTGAGTCAGATCAGTGAATACTTAATAGAAGGGAAGTAGATGTGTAAGAAAACTTACATGAACATGTAAATTTGTTAGAAGTTTCATGTTCTTACGTTGCAGTATAAACAAATTTTATAATGAAAGTTCTATTTCTTTTTGCGAAGAACCATTTTAATCACAAGAAAGCATAATACATCAATAAATAAATAAACTCTTAATCTATGTGCCTGAGTCCCGACTTACGTCTTCATGTAGTCTCTCAGATCAGTAGGGTGCTTTCCAAACTGTAACTGCTAGTAACATGCTCCTAGCCTGCTGGAGTTGAATACAGGTGCGTGATTTGCCCAGTAACCTCCACAAAGCTCGCTGGTAGTTAGGAGTTCTTTTGGTTTTGGTAATTGCAGTGCGTGGCTGTGTTTAACACTAGAGTTGTGGCTGAAGGTATTATTTCTTCAATCGAAGTAATTGACAGTGGAGGAACTGGCAGCCTCCTTCAGAACAAGGAGGATTTATCAAGTGTCAGAATCCAGCCTTTGCAGCTTGTGTGTCTTACGGTGAAGACCTCCTAGGTGAAAATGTTGAGGAAATGCTTTGTAAAGTAAAGGTTCAATATAACAGAATTGTTCAAAGCGCTAAAGGGGAACTTGACTTTAAATAGTCAATACCCTAATTAGGACGTGTTGAAAGAGAAAAATGTTACTGGAATTTGGAGACTAATGGGGTAAAAAAAAATGCCTTTAAGGAACAAGAAACATCTACCAGGCCTGTTCTCTTGGGACATAAACATCTCTATGTTACTTAATTCTCATCAGCCGCTCCTTTAGTGTTGTGTGAAACTCTGTTTTACATGGTGCCAGAACAGACCAGTAGAATTTGAGGCTAAAATGACACATCTTTCCATCTAAATTAAATCATTTGGCCTTGGGCAGAATAATGGAGTACTTGGAAATTGGTGCATATGGAAAGCATTCAATAGTATTTGGAGTAAATCACAGTTGACCTGGGTTAAGATTTCCTTGACTCTCTCAAATGCTGTTGGTTTACATTGGCAGCTTGCAGCCTTGACTGATTTAATGAATAGTTAATGCTAGTAGAACTCTTGCATTTTGTTTCTGCAGTAAGTAATGTTCATAGATCTAGATTGTGTAGTCAACTTTGGTTTTCTATCAGGTATACAGTATGAAGAACTTTTTTGCCTTCATACGCTATTGTCAGCACGGGCTTTGATTCTGCTCTGTGCAGGCACTGTATTTTTTCTTTTTTCCAGGAAATCTTAATATTTTTTCATGTAATATTTGTCTCCAGATGTGTTTTCCACCTTTCAGTTTCTCTGTGTAAACATATTCCATTCACAAAGAGTTTGTTTTGTCATTTATCTTCAGTTTTTTGTCTTCTATTTTCTAGGAATCTCCTGTAAAAACAAAACAAAATCCCTTAATGACATGGTAGAGCTGTTGCATGCTCAACTTAGGATAAGCACTACGCCAATGGATGTGAAATCCACCAAGCTTGCGAAACCAGCTGAAGCTGACTCACAATCGTAAAATTGCCTTCAGGCTTCTTGCTAATAGTCAGGGTCAGGCTTAGGTTGTCTTACTCCGTGCCTGACACATATGGCTGGCTCATGGATGATTCAGTTAGAAGGGTACTATTCAAAACAAAACCCATGTGAAACCACCAAAAAAATAGTGGGATTAACTAAACCAAATCTACCTTTGTGCTTGCTTAGATCCTGGAGTTGTCTGTACCTTCATGAGTGGCGCGCAGGCAGGTCAGTGGTGTATTTGGCAAAGCAGGATCCTTGATTTTGTTGATAATTCAGTGTAGATTCAGGGACAACAAATGTTGCTGCACTTAAAGTATTTTTGTCATGTATTTAGTCTCTTTTGTCTAACTGAATCAATAGAGGCCAACCTAGCACCACAGAATCTCCTTCCCACCTCCTCCTCCTTGCTTTCTGAGTCTTTTAGATATCCAGTATACAATGGGGGAAAAGCCTGATTTGGATGTTTTATGGATTTTTTCCAAATTCCTATTTATACATGCAAATGAAACTTTATATAGCAATGAAATACTGATATCAATTTCTAAATACCATATATATAATGAATGCATTGTATCTTTTTATCGATAAGAAGGCTATAGACCAGGACTACATACCTGTATATTTTGAAAGTTAAATATATAATTACTCAGAAAGGTTGTACACCTCTATCTAATAACTTAAGACAACAAATTAGTCTGTTGTTGATAACAGCTTTTTGTGGAAATGCTGTTTCTCGTGTTCATGCAGCTTTCAAGATTAATGACAGAATGGATGGAAAAGTGACTCGTTTCTTTACACAGACACCCCTTTTATTTTTTGTTCTTGACTTAAAAAAGTAATCTACCTCTTAAAATTTGTAGTTTAATACTTTGTTTGGTGAATTTGTGCCACTTTAACTTTCACTTTCACTATCATTCCCATTTTGTTACATTTCTGTTATGGGGACTTTATGTTGAAATACTGTATAAAAGCATTTGTAGCAAGTTTAAAAAAAATAAAATATTTAAAATTATTTAAATTGTTTTGGACACTTCAATTGTACTATATGTGATTTACATTTTACATCAATTTCAGTTTGTTTTCCTTTTGGGTTGTTAATCTTGGAGCATGTTCCTGTATTAAAGTTTGCTGTTAGTTATATTGTTTCTTTTATTGGAGAGTGATATAAAGACTATTCTAATGAAAACATTAAAAATTACAACTTGATGTAAAAGTGGGGTTGTCATTGCTTTTGAACATTGTGGCCTTGCTGAAGGTACTGTAAATGCAGGTAAGCAACTGAAGGGGGATTTTCTCCTCCAGCACAATGCATCGAGTGAGTTGCAGATGTATGTAAGTCTTGGTGGTGTTGCAAGCACTTAATGACCAACTAGATGGAACTATCCTGACACATTTTTATATAACTGTAACCAATAAAGTCAACTTTTTACAAACTTGTGAGAAACTTGCCTTTTGTATGGAAATGAGATGGACCAGGAGCAAAGCAGCAGTGTACATCTAGAAGGAATTAAGTGTGCTTGCATCCCTGAATGGTCTACACCCATGTCACTGGAGCAACTTTATAGCAGCTTGACACTTCTGAGTTAGGCCTGGATTCTTATTTTTAATTGAGGATACAATAAATTTGTATTGATTAAAATGACATACTTTAACTTTTTTTGTACTGTACTGTTCTATTTGATGTGCTTGAAACGTGTGAAATAGTTTAATTTATAAGGTACGTGTGAAGAGTTTTGGTTCTGAGAGTTTTGGATTGTTGTATTCCATCACCAAGATGTACATTCTGCCTCCTGCAGTGGAGCTGGAAGCGTCTGGTTGGATGGAATAATGTAGTATCATTAACACCATCAGTATTACAGTAGCCAATTTCTTAACATATTCATTACTGATCCAGTAGTAAATTAATATTTTATGCAGTTGTCTGTTCAAATTAATACTTCTGTTTGAGTAAGATTCTTTGGCAAGAACTCCGTTGTTATTTTCTGATGTGACGTATTCCTTGAACTCGTTATCCTCTCCAGAGCCAAGTTTTCCTTGAATTTTAGCAAAGAGGAAGATTCTGGTACAATGAGGCAGGAGTTCTAACTTTGTTCCCTGGGTGTTTTTGCAGGCACATCTCTGTTGGGATACTATACACTGCAGTTTGGTAGCTGCAGTGTGATGGAAAAGGTGAATTCTATCCTAGCTCACAGCAGTGGTTACGTGGTAGGACAGCCACAGTAAAGGTTTTTTATATTGATTAGGTTTTGCTATATTTACTTAAGTGAAAACATTTTGGTTTGCATACCCATAGTTGTATTTGGATAGATAGAATTAGGAAACATAAAAAGGTAAAAACTCTTCCATAGTTTCGAAGTTGCTGAGGATGGGGTCTAAACTTCCCCTTACCTACTTGTTACCACATCTTTCATCTCTTGCTGACAAGTGAAATACCGGTTGGTGTTTGATCTCGCTGCAATGTTGGTGTTTTGATCACCATGTAAGGGTTTCTTAGAGATGTCTAGCAGTGAATTGATCCTAAATAAACCAGTTTCCATCCTTCAATCCTTAATATGATGGCAGAGGTTTGTTGCCATTGTCTTTGCTGTTTCTCTGCTGTGATATTAAATCTCTGGTGACCCAAGGATGCTACTACACTGAGATGTTCACATGTGTTTGTACGTGCTAGTTCTCAAGAGGAGGGCTGTATGGTGGACATCTCTATTCCAAAGTGAGAGCTGATAATCAGGGAACAAGTTTCAATCCTAAATAGGCACCTCATCATAGATGGGAAGTTTAGAACTTTATAGTTACTGTTGCATCTCATCTGCGCAGTTGAATTTTTGTGGCTTCTATAACTGCCTCTTTATGATCTGAATGCAACAATAAAGCTGTAATGATGCACGCAAAGTGCTGACGTTGCTTGAAATGCATCCAGATGGGCACTGAAAGCAATAAAACTTGTGCTGTTCA